TCCATGGAAAAAAGATGAGGCTTTCTGCTCCGTAAAGATTTATAGCCTCAGAAACCCAATACAGGGTAACTATGAGTCTGAACTGACTCCATGGCACTTAATAACAACAACAACCTACTAAGTAACGTAGTAGTTGCTAGGTGATGAAAACATATATATATGACAAAACTTGCCATTCTAGTCATGTTACGTCTACAACTCAGTAGTTATGTACACAATTACCACTATCTCCAACATGTTCTCATCACCTAAAACAGAAAATCAGTATCCATTAACAACAACCCCTTGTCCCCAACTCCTAGTAACACTGATCTATGTCTAGATCTATAGATTCACATATTTGTAATATTTCACTTAAGTGAGATCATACTATACAAGGGGACTTCAAACAATTCATGGAAAAATAGAATGAAAAGATAGTGGAATGTTCCCATGAACTTGTTGAAGCCCCCTCTTATTTGTTCCCTACCCCTTGCTGCTGTATCTGACTTGTTTCAACTAGTTCAATGCTCTCAGCTTCCATCTATATCATAATATACATCGGAACTTCATCTTTCCATGAGACTGAACTTCAAATGTTTGGTGATTCTGAACAAGGAAAGACTATAGCCATTTTGTAGGTGTTCTGGTAGCATAATGGTTACAAGTTGGGCTGCTAATCTCAAGGTCAGCAGTTCAAAACTACCAGCTGTTCCATGGGAGAACAATGAGGCTTTCTGCTCCCATAAAGATTTACAACCTTGGAAACCCTATACAGGGTCACTATGAGTCAGAATTGACTTTGCAGCACACAACCACCACCACCACCCTAGACATTTTGTAGCCCTGGAGTAGTGCTCTGGGCTAATAACGCTGGACTGCAAGGTCAGCAGTTCAAGCTCACCAGCTGCTCCTCAGAAACCCTATATAGGGTCTCTTTGAGTCGGAACTGATTTGATGGCACTTAACAACATCAACACAGCCATTTTGGTTAGAGTCATGTGGTGGCACTGTAGGATAAGCACTGGGCTGCTAACCACAAGTTGATGGTTCAAACCCACCAGCCACTCATTGAAAACTCTTCAGGATCATTATGAGCCAGAACTAACTAGAGAACACTTAACAGCAACAGACATTTTGGAGTCTGGGTGTGGCCCTATAGGATGAGCACTGGATTGCTAACTGAAATATGGATGGTTTAAACCCACCAGCCACTGCTTGGAAACCCTATACAGGGTTGCTACAAGTCAGAACTGACTCCAAGGCACTTAAACATAAGTCAGAATTGACTTGACAACACTTAACAATAACAACAGCCATTTGTTTACTGTGTGCCTTAGACCATTTCATTGTCCCATAATTCCTTTCATACTGCCTTCTTTTGCAGTGAACTATTTTGATTCTCATTCCTTTTGTGTAAAATTGTTAAGCTGCTTTCCATCATAGGCATTTTTATGTAGCCCTGCACTCATTCTGTTATTTTATTTACTTCCTGTGATAATATTTTCCATGTTTCTACATTCACATTATAGTAGACTTTTTTTCAATAACTGAATGATTTTTTTTAAAGAGGGGGAATATTAAAGTGAGCAATAGAAACATTCATGCTGAAGTTTCAGAGAAAGAACAGACTCTAGAAATGATTAAGGAATGGAATGTTAAGAACGTTATTCTTTCAAAAACACAAGTTATTTCAACGGTAATAAAATATGAGCAGAACATCATAAAGAAAGAGCAAATTGAAATGAAAGTGAATAAGATGCAAATAAAAGGAAGAATGATGAGAAAAAGAGGGATTTTAACATGTCCCTTAACCCACTGCCAGCTAAGCCATTCTAACTCATAGCAAGCCTATGTAGGGTTTCCAAGACTAAATCTTTGTAAGAACAGGCAAACACTAGCTAAAGTAGAAGAGCAGTACAAACACCTTAAATATCTTATAAATGAGAAGAAATTCACACCTTGAATTTCTGGCATATAAATATGCCCTAAGATTTTTTTAAATCACAATGCTAAAGAGAAAAATCCTCAAGGCAGACAGACAGAATAAATTGTTTACAAATTAAAAAAAAACTACTCATACTTGCCTCAGACATCATTTTTTCCACACATTTATTGGCTATTTATTTTTCCTCTTTTGTGACTGATGAGTTAATTTTTTTTTAGTGTAGTGGTTACGAATCGGGCTGCGAACCACAAGGTCAGCAGTTCAAAACTACCAGCTGCTCCGCGGGAGAAAGGTGAGGCTTTCTGCTCCTGTACAGATTTACAGCCTCAGAAACCCTGTGCAAGGTCGCTACGGGTTGGAACCAACTCAACGGTACTTAACAACAACAACAACTATATTACTGAGAAGCGGGGGGGAAACCTAATACTAATACCCCCTTCCTCCATCTAGGAAACCATATTCAATACTCCACATAATTAAACTGTAGTCATTGCTTATTATATGACTGGCATATAATGTAATTGAGTGTATACCTTTTGTTGTTGCTGTTAAGCACTGTTGAGTCGGTTCCGACTCATGGCAACCCTGTATAGGTTGTCCAAGGAGTGACTGGTGGGTTTGAACCACCTACCTTAATACCAGGTATTAAGCTAAAGCCTTTCATTTGTTCTTCTATTTAATCCTCATGACAGCTGAAAAAGGAAGATAGTATAATTTTCACCATTTTACACATAAGGAAACAGGTTTGCTTTAGAGTCCAAGTTGCTGATCATTATCCCATTCAACTTTTAAAAAGGACTTAAATAACTTCTTTGTATTGTCTTCTATGTTCAGATATTTGGGACAGTTGACTCTTATAATCAGTAGTGTGCTGGTTAGCAACTGGCTTTCTGGGAGAGGAAAACAAAATCAGTGTTTGCTCATTTCCATAGTTTTTGTTGTTGTTGTTAAGTGCCCTAGAGGCAGGTCAGACTTACAGTGACCCTGTATAGAGTTTCCAAGGAGCAGCTTGTGACCTTGAACCACCGACCTTGTGGTTCAAACCAACCTTGCAATCCAGCACATTATCCCTGCTAACTACAAGGTCAGTTGTTTGAAATCACCACCTGCTCCCCAGAAGAAAAGAGGAGTTCTGCTCCCGTAAAACTGTGCAGCATCTGAAATGCTATATAGTTTCCCTCTGAGTCCGAATGAACTTGATGGCAGTGGTTATTTATTCCCCCAACATACCTGATTTCAAAGTGTCGCTGTGATGCCAACCAACTCATTGAATTCCTGAACATTTAACCCTTTGCTCCTTGGAGCTGGTTTACAAAGCTCCCGCACACCTAGACTTATCATCAAAGTAAGAAAATAACAGTTTCTCAATTTCTAGGTCAGTGATTCTCAATTCTACTCAGTATTAGAATAGTTGATACAAATCTCATGTCAGGACTCCATGCCTGAAAGATCTTGATTGAATTGATGTGAACTATATAGCCAGGGCATCTCTATCTTTAAGCTCCTCAGCCAGAATTGAGAAACAAGACTCTTAGATGAACACACCTTATTTATCATCTAGTCTCGCAACAAAAAATTGACAAAGATAATATGTTATGCCTTATCGATACTACTTTTCATTTTTTATACTTTTACTTTCATAGAGTGAGAGTGCCTACCTGTGTTTGTTCATACAATCTTAGGAAAACTTAATTTGTTCAAGAAATGATTTCTGCTTCCTTTACCTTTAACTTAAACAATGATTAAACTATGATAGACACCCAGTGATGTGAGGCTTTTATTATTCAGGTGATATCTGCATCTTAAATTTAGTGATCTCTACTATACATGGTAAAGCTGGACAGTAAATAAGGAAGACCGTAGAAAAATTGATGCTTTTGAGTTGTGGTGTTGGAGAAGAATATTGAAAGTGCCATGGGCTGCCAAAAGAACCAATAGATCCATTTTGGAAGAAGTGCAGCCAGAGTGCTCCTTGGAGACCAGGATGGCCAAATGTCATCTCTCATACTTCGTACATATTGTCAGGAGGGACCAGTCACTGGAGAAGGATATCATGTTTGGTAAGGTGGAGGGTCAGAGAAAAAGAGGAAGACCCCCCAATGAGATGGATTGGCCAAGTGGCAGCATGGATGGACTCAAGCATGGCAACAGTAGTGAGGTTGGCCCAGGACCGGGCAGTGTTTCATTCTGCTGTACATAAGGTTGCTATGGGTCAGTACCGACTTAATGGCACCTAACAACAACAACTACTAAATTTTATGAAGTCCTGGTATAGTGCTGTAGGTTAATGTACTGGACTATAAGGGCACTTTGAACTGCAAGGTCGGCAGTTCAAGCTCACCAGCTGCTCCTTAGAAACTCTATACAGAATCACTGTGAGTTGGAAATGACTCAGTGGCCCTTTATGATTTTTTTCATCTGTTAGATATTACAATTTGTACTTGACTGATTCTCAAATGATTGATACAAATATGTTTATCCTCAGGACAAAATTTTCAGCATCTCTCCCCAAACAGACCCAAATTCAGAGATCATCATTTCACACGGAACAACCTAGCTCCCCTACCAGACCAGAAATGTAAGTATAAGAATCTTCCTCCACTTCCTTTGTAAACATTAACATACGTAGACACGACTGAAGGGTTTTTCAGTTTGCTTTAATATTTCAAAGGAATATCAAAAGCTAAAACTTGTAAAATATAGGAAAGATAGGAAAAATCTTAGAGCTTCTTCCAACTTGGTGATGCTTCAAAAATAAAATGAAGATTCATTCCTTTGAGGAATTTTTGTGCTTGAAAACACAAAACACTATGAAAACAAAGACAGAAGTTTACTTTGCTATACATTACTTCATGTCTTCAAGAAAGTGCTTTCAAACTTCTTCAGACTGAGTTCTTGGCATTGATGTTTCATACATTCCTACACAAAAAGGAATAATCAAGTAGATGTCTTTTAGCAGCTTTCATTTTGGTGTTATGGATTTATAACTTTTTATTCAAACTATCACAATATAAAATATTAATATATTCTAGACAACCAGTGATCTTCAAACTTAAGTGAGTCTAACTAAGTACAGGTGTACACCACGTGGTGTCTGTCCAGCAATGTCGAACCACAATGTGTCTCTGGTCAGAGTTCCTTCTCTTGAGGTCAGAGTTCCACTTCTGCTTGAGTGCTGCATGTGACCCAGAAGCCGCTTAGCTTCAACAGTGGAGGCGCAGGCCCAAATTTATTAAGCAGGTCTTGTTCCCAAATTTTGCACGGTGCTTTCCTAACTCTTGCCCCCCTTGGCCCACACCATCCCCATGTTCTCACAGGCAAACTGACCTTCCCTGCAGATGGCTTAGCAGAGAAGGCAGTGCTAGCTGGGTGGCACCCAGCTAAGTGTTCACTTCTGGTATCCCTAGAAGGAGTTGCCTGGACTATGCACTGCCCAGCAGCCCCCAGACTAGTATGCCCAGGAGCCCTGTGCCCAAGGAGACAGGTTTTCACATAATGCCCAAACCACAAAATGTCCCATTTATTGAACCAGAGTCAATGTTAAACAGTGCATACCTATATTCCTTGACATGCTTGTGAAAAAGTAAATTCTTGGGTCCCAGTTCCAGAGATTCTGAGCTTATATACCCAAATATATCTATGAGACTAAGGAACTCTGGTAGCATAGTGGTTACAAATTGGGCTGCTAACCTCAAGGTCAGCAGTTTGAAACTACCAGTTGTTTTGTAGGAGAAAGATGATGCTTTCTGCTCCTGTAAAAATTCATAGCCTTGGAAACCCTGTACAGGGTCACTATGAGTCAGAACCAACTCCATGGCATGTGTCCACCACCACCATATCCATGAGACTAGTTCTATTATCATTCCCATTGTATAGATGAGAAAACTGAGTTCAGAGAGGTTACATGATTTGTCCATCATTGGTGGTAGTAGTGGTTGTGTGTCGTTGAGTCAGTTCCTACTCATAGTGTTCCTATATAGTTTTTCCAAGGCTATAAATCTTTATGGTAGTGTAGTGGTTACGAATCGGGCTGTGAACCTCAGGGCCAGCAGTTCGAAACTACCAGCTGTTCCACGGGAGAAAGATGAGGCGTTCTGCTCCCGTAAAGATTTACAGCCTCGGAAACCCTGTAGAGGGTCGCTATGAGTCGGAATCGATTCCGTGGCACATAACAACAACAACAAATCTTTATGGGAGCAGAAAACCTCATCTTTCTCCAGCAGGCTGGCTGGTGGGCTAGAACGGTTGATCTTGCGGTTAGCAGCCCAACTTGTAACCCACTAAACCACCAGAGCGCCACTTGTCCATCACTATGTATTAAGCAACATAAGAGTCCCTGGGTGATGAAAACACTTAAGGTATTTCACTGCTAACTGAAAGGTTGCAGTCCACTCTGAGGTGCCTTAGAATGAAAGCCTGGCGACCTACTTCTGAAAAATCAGCCACTGAAAACCCTGTGGAGCACAGCTCTAAGTTGACACATGTGGGGTCGTCGTGAGTCTGAATCAACTCTACCACAACTGATTTGGTTAACTAGCAGAGCCAGGAGCAAAACAACTGGATATTGAGTCAGCTGCTTCATGAGACAAGTGATAATTACTGGAATTTTAATTTCCCACCTTCTTTTTCTTCAAGCCAATTACCTATGCCCACACTACTCCTTTTATACAGTCTATACACATAGATGCACACACAGAGAGACACACACGAGCACACACAGGGACACGTGTGTATGTCCTTTTTTTTTTTTTTTAATCATCTCTTAATTGTAGGTTAGATGATTTAGGAGTTGTCTTAACTATTTCAGACAAGTGTCTTGTTCTTTGTTGTTGTTAAGTGCCATCAAATCAGTTCCTGAGAACTCATAGCAATCCTGTATAAGGTTTCTAAGGAGTGACTGGTGGTTTGGACCACCTACAGTGCCCCACCAGGAAGTACAAGTATCTTGATGTCACTACATGAGTTTTCTGACTTTGGTATAAGGATTAAATTAAATAGCCTTAACTAAAGGACTTGACATATTATCTGTCCCTATCCCCCTATTGGAAGGGGACCAACCAAGAGTTTTTAAACTCTTGGTTAAAACACAATGAGCCATGGAGTCCAATTCCATCTTTTTGCAGAAACTAAGAAGTGAAACAATACACCAAAATCAAACAGAGTTAGTAGCCGAAACCAAGACCTTTTCTTCAATGGATCATTTCCTCTACCCTTTCTGATTTGGGTAAATGTGGGCGGTTTTGATGGGGTGCGTTATACTGTGGAAAAATATCCAAGCCTGAACATGTCTTTAAACAGAAACCTAATCACAAAGACGTCTAGTTAAGGAAAGAGTCACTTAGTCTTGAATCCTGGAGCTGCTTAGAGAAGCTAAAATGAAGGTGTTTTCTTTAGCAAAACCCACAAGCTTTTTCACAACTAAGTTTCAGAAAAGAAAGGGAAGATACAAATTTTTGATCACCTTTGTTGTTGTTATTAAGTGCGATGGATTCAGTTCTGACTCACAGTGACCCTGTATAGGGTTTCTGATAAGCAGCTAGTGAATTTGAACTGCCAACCTTGTGGTTAACAGTAAAGTGCCTATCCCACAACACCACAATCGGTCTCAACTTTAGCTCTAGCAAAAATAAATTAAAGGGCACGTAGCACTTCTCCTAAAAGAAACCAGAGAGCCTTTTGAGCTTTGCAGTCTGCTAAAAACACAGTACAAATGCCTTGGTACTTTTTTTTATTTTGGTTCATTTAAAGTGGGTGATCTTCATGGTATGTAAATGGTACCTATTTTAGCTTTTTTATTGTAAATTGAGTAAAGGTTTACAGAGCAGATCATCAGTGTTACATTCAACAAATCATATACTTGTTTCATTACAATGATTGCAATCCCCTCCATTGTACCATCCATTAACAGTTTTACCTCTATTTACTTCTAGGGGCGTTTTTTTGGCTTGCTTAGCCTCCTGCTGACTTGGCCTTCAACAGCTACCCCACCCAAGGAAGAACTGCCAGGCACTAACAGTTCAATTTTGTTTTGATCCACCTTGACCTAGTCCTGTGTTTTTGCATGTTTGACATTCCTAACTAGAGATACATAATAAGCTTTCTCCTGAAGTCCACTCTCACCAACACAGAATCTTAGAATTACCTCCATCCTTAAGAAAGAACACAGTTCTCCTACCATCATTCCACTTACTACTATGAGCAAAGTGAATTTTGAGAGACTGTCATTCTACTCTTTCTTTACAGTCTTATCTGGAGAACCTCTGCGCACAAACCGAGTGCTTCCTGCTATCCCAAGCCAACGAGGGCACAACACAACAGCTCAAGAGGGTGAAAAAGCTGCCAATGCCATCAATGATGAAACCTAGCTGTGACCCTGCTGACTACAGAAATACAGATTAGATATATTTTCAACCCTCAAAGGGTAAGATTACTCTAGTCTGTCAGAACAAAGACAAATTTAGTAAACTGCATTCTATAAGCCATTCACAGTTTTCTAACTCTGAATTCTTTGTTCTAAATAAAGACACTTCCCAAATAAGCACTTGGAATTTTTGAATGTGCATAAATTCTCAGTCTGTGAATTTCTGTGACTGCCACATGCCAAAATGCATTAATAGCAGGGAAACGGAGCCATGTTTGGCTTGCTTTGTGGCATGTGTGCTGATTTCTTTTGCTGAAAGATTTTGTTTTTTAAGAAAATTGTACGCTTTGCTGAATTAAAAAATAAATAAATAAAACCACATTCTAGAGTTGTTCTCTACGTTTCTTATAATTGTAGCTTTGACTAATGAGACTTTATGAAAATGAAAGCAATAAATTAATTTAATCAGTCATTGTTTATGCCTTTAAGTGTACTATCTTGTGAAATAACTTTTTTAGCATTGTCAGTTCCGGACTCCAGGCAAGTTAATGACTGGCCAGTTGCCTTAACAATAGCTTCTGCCTCTTGTTATTTGACTATTTCCATCAATTCTTTCAGATATGATTGATTGTTCCAGTTGTGAGTCGATCATGCAAGATGGGAAGCCTTACAGAGCTGAATAGGGATTTCTTACCTATTCCTTAAGTACTCTATAGGATTAATCATTCTTTTTTTCTACTTCAAAATAATTGTCTCTGCCTACTCAAGACATTCCTGATTTTATGACTTCCAAACTTTTGGCTAGAGGGCTATACCAATTTCAAAGATTGGCAGCAAAAGATAAACACTCCATGTTAGTTCCAAGTCGGCACACTATTTTGTAAACATCTCAAATATAACATTCATCACTTGTTGTTAGTATTGGGGAGTCCTGGTATGGTGCTGCAGAATAAGCACTGGACCAAGAGACTGGTTTGAATTGCAAGATTGGCCGTTCAAACTCACCAGGCATTCCTCAAAACCCTATATACGGTCACTGAATCAGAATCAAACATCAAACAGCAATGAATATTTGTTTAGAGAGGCCAGTGTCTACTGTTAACCAGGTAGAAACTTCCTTTCTGAGTTTATTTATTGGAGGTTTAAACCCACCAGCTACTCTCTGGAAACCCTATACTGGGTCATAATGAATCAGATCTGACTCAACAACAACAACATACAGCTATAGCAGTTGCTGGTGAGCCCATCTCAAATCAGGGCATCCTCATATTCCCAGAGCAGAACGGCTCCATAAGGCTGCAGCTTTCTGAAAAACGCCATCTGCTCTTCCTTCTACAACACCTCTGGGTGGCACAATGATTAAGTTTTAACTTCTTACTAAAAGGTTGGCAGTTCAAACTAATTCAGCTGTTCTGTGGGAGAAAGATCTAGTAACCTATAAAGGGTACACAGAAAACCCTATGGGACAGTTCAACCCTGACCCCTATGAGTTATAAATCAATTTGACACTTGGTATGGTGCTGTGGGCTAATGCGCTAAACTGTAAGGTCGGTTCATACTGCAAGATTGGTGGTTCAAGCTCACCAGCCACTCCTTGGAAACCCCGTACAGAGTCACTATGAGTTGGACTGACTCGACGACACTTTACAACAACAACAACAAATAACAACAATGAAGTTCTTTTGTGATGTGATAGCATAAGTACAGGACTGCTAGCTGCAAGGTTGGCAGTTCTAACCCACCAGCCACTCCTTGGAAACACTATGCAAGGTTGCTATTAGTCAGAACCTACTCAACGGCACACAAGCACCGCCACAAATAACAATAAATTTACATAAGCAAATACAAACCTTGTATTTGGGAAAATGCCCACAAAACTAGTGATTTGTGCTCAGCTAGTTAAAGTTGTTGAAAGTTAAGGGTTTTCCCTGATTTCTCTTAGCCCTCTTTAATAATAACCTGGTTTAACACAGGTGTTATTTCTTCTAAGAATCAAGCCAATACAAACAGATTTCTGTCTCCAGCTTAGTATCCTTTCAACTGTAGCAGAGTACAGGTTGACACATGGTGATTTTACAAAAACCCCACCATGAGACCGATTAGAAATACAGAGTCTCCCAGAGAGATAAACTTAATTGCTAGTGTTGCATTTTGCCTCTATTCTTTTGAAATTTACGAATGCCTGTCTCTAAACAAGTGTATTTTAAAGTTTTTAAATATTTTTTTTTTTTTAATTTAAGCCAGCTTTTTTTTTTTTTTAGTTCACCAGGAGTTTAAATAAGGTAACTAAGAAAGAACAATTTTGATATTCTCTGCTAACATGAAATAGAAAGCCCAAGCCAAAAGCTACATTAATAAAGGAACATGATAGCAGCTCTCACATGAGACAGCTAGAGTCTCTGATTGCCTTCTGAAATAAAAAAGACGTATATTTAAATCAAGAAATTCTATCAGAACCACATATTTTCTAGAGAGAAATGTACTTAACATTTCTCTCTAGAAAATATGTGGTTCTGATACACCAAGACTTTCCACAAATACGTTTCTATGGAAAGTATAATTTTCCAAAGGAAGTGTCTTCCGGTTCTCATCTCTGTTCTAGTGAAACACTGGTCTTTTGGGAATCTGAACAAGTTCCAAAACATGCATGGAGGCCAAATCTAGAAAGGCAATGAGTAAGTTGAAAAGTTTCCAGTCAGCATATTATACTAGCACTGTTGTCTACAGAGGGACAAAGAGAATTTTTCATATTGTTATATGAAAAACAGGAAATAACTTGCTGTTTATGAAATTTCAATGAAAATTTTATTGATGGTAAATCTTCATTTCTTAGAGTCTACAAAGTAGGAGAAACATTACAAGAAAAGAAAATCTGCCCTTATTGTTGTTGAATGCCCTCGACTTGGTTCCAACTCACAGCGACCCTTTATAGGAGCAGTTGGTGGGTTTGAACTGCTGATCTTGCAGTTCTCAGTCCAGTGCTGATCCTACAGTACCGCTCCAGAAATCCAGAGAAGACTATGGTTGTCTCCAAATAGACATTAAATCCAAGAACCGAGTCCAGATACAGATGATTTTTGAGCAACACCTTTGATGCACTGAAGGTGAACCTTGACCAGAGAGTTAGCCATGAGAGACATAAAAGAATGAAGGCAGGAAATTATCCCCATGACTTCTATTCATGTGACAGGCAAAAGTATTCCAAAAGGGTTTTTAAAGAGAAGCCAATTGCACATGTTATTGTTATGTTGTTAAGTGCCATCAGGATGATTCTAACTCACAGTAATCCTGTATAGGGTTTCCAAGTAGCAGCTGATGGGTTTGAACTGACTTTGTGGTTAGCCGTCCAATGTTTATCCTACAGAACCACACTAGGACTTATGTTTGTTATGGTAAGTCTTGGAGTCAATTCTGACTCATAGAAACTCTAGAGGTCAGAGTAGAACTGCACACTAGGATTCCCTAGGCTGTAATGTTTTTCTATTCCTTTATTATTATTATTATTATTTTGTGTTTTTTGTGAAAGGTTACACAGCTAGCTAGCCTCCTATTTGACAACATCCGCACAGACTGAGCAATGACATTGGTTACATTTCTCACATATGTCAATATCCTCTTTCATTCTGTTCTAGTTGGTCCATTTTCAATATTCGCATTTCCTATCCCCCTTTTCTTATCCATGCTTTCAATTAAAGTTAACCTTTTGGACTCCTTCCAACTTGTCTTTAGTAAAGAACTCATGGAAAGAGCAATAGCCTTTATTCTGGGTGTCATCATGCTTTTCTACTACATGGTGATCACAGGAGACAGTTTTGGTTTAAGATTTAGAACGTCTCAGATTAATAGTTTCAGGGATCATCTGGTATCAGGTGATCTAAATAGTCAAGACTTTTTCAAGAATCTAAGTTTTGATCTGCACTTTTCTCTCATTCTAACTATATTCATCGTTGTCCCCTGAGCCGATCTTTCAGTGATGATAGTTGGGCACCGCCAAGTTCTTCTGATCTCAGAGTAGTTGAGGTCATAGCTCCTTAGGCTGTTTCCATGCTGTAATCTTTACAGAAGCAGATCTCCAGGGCTTTTTCTCCTGTGTAGCCTCTGGTGGGCTCAAACAGCGGAGCACTTAACGAGTTCACTACCAAGACTCCTTACTGACTACTTGTTGTTCTTGTTGTTAAGCACCATTGAGTTGGTTCCAATTCATAACCACCCTGTATAGGATTTCCAAGTTTGAAAATCTTTTATGGGAGCAGAAAGCCTCATCTTTTTGCCCTCAGAGGAGTTGGTGGGTTCGACCACTGACCTGGTGGTTGACAATCCAGTGTTTATCTTACAGAGACACTGAGTTCCCCCTGATTACGTGTTGTTGTTAGTTGCCATAAGACAATTTCAACTCATAGCGACCTTAGATCCAACAGAATGAACCACTGCCTGGTCTGGCACTACCCTCACAATTGTTGTTATGCTTGAGCACATTGCTGCTGCCACTGTGCCAATCCATCTCATTGGGGGAGCTCCCTCTTTTTCACTGAGCCTCCACTTTACTAAGCATGGTGTCCTTCTCCAGGGACTGGTCCCTCCTAATAATAGGCCCAAAGAATGAGAGACAAAGTCTCATCATCCAGCTTTCTAAAGAGCATTCTGTCTATACTTCTTCCAAGACAGATTTGTTTGTTCTTCTGACAGTACATGGTACTTTTAATAATTTCCTACAGCACCATAACTCAAATGCATCAGTTCTTCTACAATCTTTCTTATTCATTGTCCAACTTTCATTTGCATATGAGGTAATTGAAAATATCATGGTTTGGGTCAGACACACCTTAGTCCTCAAACTGATATCTTTGTCCTTGAAAACTTTAAAGAAAACTTGTGCACCATATTTTCTTAATGCAGTACATCATTTGATTTCTTGACTGCTGCCTCCATGAGTGTTAATACTGGATCCAAGAAAAATGAAGTCTTCAACAACTTCAATCATGATGTTATTTATCGGTCCAGTTGTAAGGATTTTTGTTTTTTTTTTTTTAAATTGAGGTGCAACCCATCCTGAGTGCTGTCGTCTTTGATCTTCATCAGTAAGTATTCTAAGTCCTCTTCACTTTCAGCAAACAAGGTTGTATCATCTGCATATCACAAGTTGTTAATGAGCCTTCCTCTAATCATGATGCTAAA